TATATATATATATATATATATATATATATATATATATATATATATATATATATATATATATATATATATATAACTACCACGCAGAAAAAAGGTTGGCCGCGAAAGTTAAAATATATTATAATTGTGACAATAAAACGTGTCGTTAAAATAATGACAACTAATATCGTTGCTACTGAAGCTAACTTTACTAGCTATCTGAACTTTGGCACTACAGCAAAAAATACTCGCTACTGAATAAAAAGTTCCTGTTAAATAATTTTGCTTTTCTTTTAAATTTTACTTTATCGTCGATACAAACTTTAGCGTCGAAACAACGAAACGTAAAACGTTTCGGATTACAGATCTAAACCAAGATTTCTCGTTAGTCTTCAACCTAGATTAATGTCCGTTTTTACACAAACACAAGAATCAATGTCTTTCGTACTTACATGATCACGCTGTTTGATCCGCGGAACTATTCCGCATCCATCTGAAGCGCGATAATTTTCCCATCCCAATGATCTTTGTTTCAAGTCGTTACGACATCTACGAGTCGAGTTGTTAACAATTATATCGATCCGCGCGTTCTAGATTATTCGGCGGTAGCGAGCGGCGCACAGTGGGAACAAATAGAAATTTACTGTTCAAAAAGTGACCACAATTTTATAGCAATTGGGATGATTTTTTTTTTTTTTTTTTTTTAATTAAACGTTAATCAATGTAGAAAAAACTGTGGAGCTTGATTTTTTTTAAATTCTTCTAAATGTTGCAATATTAATAAGAATTAAGTTCGTATTCAGCAACCTAAACTTAATATACTTTACAGACACATTTCGTGCTACAGAAACATTTTTTTCATATCGGCTGTGGGATTGACAGACAGCTGTTCAATACTAGATCTTAATACTGGCTTTACATTTATGTTATACGACTTTGTATACCTCATTGCAACATATATACTGTGTTAAAACGAAACGATTTTGTTTATGTTGACAGGAGATTAGCAGTTGTCAACTTCTAAATGCTGATTTTTATATCAGACTCGTAATCAGCGATGCTGTAAATCTTAGTACACTGTATTGTGCAGCAAAAAGATGGAAAGTTTTCCAATTGGAGTGGCTCATAAAACTTGATGATTTTTTACAAATTCTTATTAATATTGCAACATTTATAAAAATTAAAAAAAAATCGGGCTAGATAGTTTTTTTTACGTTGATTAACGTTTAATTAAAAAAAAAAAATCATCCTAATTGCTATAAAATTGTGATCTCTAGCGATTTTTGAACAGTAAATTTCTCCCTACTGTGCGGCGGATGAGACGCGACGTGGCGCGTGAATGAAACACGTGGTGTACGCACGCGGCGAGCCGACTCACTACTGTTCTCCCCCCCACTCGGCGCCTCAGATAAGCCGGGCCCGCGACTCCCCCCTCCCCGCGTCCATATACTCGCCGCGGCCGCGCGGTTGTTCACCTACTTTTATAACATAGTATGCGCCTGCGCGAGAGCAAGTGCCAGCGCGAGTGCGAATTTGGAGTCAAGCGTCGCGGCTTTAAACAGCTATAACTTATAAATGAATTGACGTAGCGATATTAAATAAAAATCATCACATCTCATGTAATTATCCAAATAAATATGCGCTTTTCATTTCAGTAAATTTGCATTTCATAGCGAATGCTGTTTCAGTTGTGTGATAGCCAACTTTGAGGAATAATAATTAGACTTTCAGCTAAGTTCGAATCAGTCACTGAGTATTATACAATTTATTTTTATTATATTATATTATATAATTTAGTATATTATATTATGTAGTTTATATATTTTATTATGTAGCTGAACGGTAATAAATACTACTACTATATATTTTATTACATTATATAATTTAGTAGATATTGCCAAGTCACTTCTCTGCGTGCGAGGCGTACCGAAAATGTTTTGCACGACAGTTTCTCATAACATCTCCTATATATTTCTCACGTAATAAAGGTATTATCGGTAACCGTTATTTCGTTAAGCGGATTTTCGCTATTCAAACATGCTTCTTTGCCCGGATATATCTCTCTTTCTCTCTCTCAGTACGCGAGAGGAGGAAGATATGAAAATAACAAGGTGGCTCTCAGTACCGCGAAGCTCCGAGGAACAAAAAGTCGACAATGTGGCAAAGAGTTTAATTTGCCAAGTCCCCCGTCCGCCGAGAGGGTGCCTCAAAGAACACATCTTACGCGACATTATGTAATAACATAACTGTACAGTCCCGGCGGCGCGAAGCAAGATAAAACAACAGTTGAAATGTGAAGTTTGTTGCACTCGGTGCATTCGCCTCCAGTCGGCGACGGCGACTCTCCCATCCGAGTGTTCATAGACCAGGACTTTGGCTCGCCAGGGGGAGCGAGAGCGAAAAGGAGACATTTCCATACGTGTCGACAGGGCTTAAAGGACTTCGCGTTAAGTGGCACACGGAGCACCTTCGGTGGTTAGCCCCGAACAGAAGCCACCGTCCCAAGAAAAGCTCTCGAGTTCGCGGGAAAGTTTAGGTCGTGTGCCGCCTTTTAGAAAGGAGGACGCGTTAAAGCCGCAGCTACGTGTGGCCGGAACAACGCTCGTCGCGCGGCAAGCAGGAGAGTGCGGGAAGAGGGATAGTCGGGCTTTTAGCTCGGAATGACAAACGTTAAGTTTTGTAGTAGACGTTACTCCGTCTGTACGGTCTTTACCGAGATCGTACCGGTCTTCGACTTAACACGGCCAACAAACTCCGACCTCTGATCCGACTCTCTCTCTCTCTCTCTCTCTCTCTCTCTCTCTCTCTTTCTCTCCTCTACTACCTAACTACCATCGAACTGTCTTTGCACAAACGAACGACAGTGTACACGTGCGTGCGTATCGCAAAAGAGACAGTTTCGACTGCGCGCACTTGGCGCGATATTGGCAAGACCATATAATTTCGTTTCATCGTCGTCGTTTGCGCTCCACGGAGCGTTTCGATGCCTCGACGACGACGTTGTGCTGGAAACGGTGCGCGGCCAAGTGAAAACTGTTACCCACGAACGAGGAGGCGGGCGAGCGAGAAGAAGAGCGAAAACGAAGAAGCTGTAAAGTTCAGACGCGCGGCTCGCTCTATTGGCGATGAATGGAAATTAACCCCTTCGCGCGCGGACTCACGAGCTACGAAATGCGCGCACGCGAGAGATTATTCTCAATCGAATCGAGCTAACTCACAGATCGCTTCGCGTTTGATTTTAATTTCGAGAGCAACTCATGCCCGAGTGATTCGAGAGGAATATCTACGTCCAATTTGAATTCTGGGGATAAAAGTGACAGAATTAAAAATATTTTTTACGCATGCGAACACACGGGATACGATCGCGATGAAATATGAGTTCGCCAGAAATTGATTTTAATTGGCTTTCGCCGCTCTCGCCGAGCGTTTCGAATGACCTCTGACGAATGTCTACTATTATTTTACCCGCGTTTGCTCTCTGCGCTTGTGTTTTTCACCGAGTCCTACGTCATTCTGTTCCTGTGGGCTCGAAAGATTCAGCCCGTCAGCAACGTGAAAAGTTCACTTCGCTCTCCCGAGTCCTTTATTAATCTGATAATAATTGGCTACTACAGCTTCAAGCGCACATAGAAATTGAAAACTTTAAGAAGCAAGGGAAGAGAACAATCGCAAAAGGAATAAACAATTACGCAAAGCAACGTCCGCGTAGAAACTGAGAAAGTCGATTTCTCCACGTGAGATCGGATTTTCTCTCGGTCTCGCCATCGCATTTACGGGACGTTCAGAATACTTGACGCTACCGACGGTTACGTACCGTCTCATTGATCGCGCGATGTACCGTATTCGATATCTTCACATGGAGAGAATTTCATAGCAAAAATCACTGTAGAATTTTGTAACCGAGGAACAGATCGACATTCTGCCATAATTCGCTATCATTTCATTTCTTATGCGCTATTTATATTTTAGGAACTGAAATGTGAAACTGAAAACCATGTTTCTTGCATAATTCACGATATTCCTCAGCAAAATAGACTGCAGTGACAGTCTATTC